AGATGCCTTTACCTGTGGTCTGTGGGGTGAGGGGGAGGGTGTCCCAGCTGTAGGTGAAGATGAGGCTCCAATTTCACTTCCTATATTAAGCCTCACGCGCCCTCCCTCCCCTGAGTCCCAGCAGCTAGCTCACACTAGCCTTTTAACACGGTTCTATAGTTCATATTCCTCCTCCAGGCTAGAGACTGTGCCTGTTTCTTGGAATGTCCCCAGAACCCAACATGAAGCTTATACCAGGGGCAGGCTAAAATGTGAGATGGAGAGATGCCTTCCGTCCTTTCTCCCACCGTGTTCATGTGGTCTTGCTTCCCACAGGTCTCAGCTGATGTCCATTAATTGTCAATTCAATGGTCAGACCCTGAGTGTGAGGACTCAAACACAGCTTCTTCAACTTCATGCCCTGCAATGCCAACTCTGCCTGAATTCCAAAGCCAAGGCAAAACCCCAAGGGAGCCTGGATTTCCTCTCTTCCTCAGCCCTGTCCCAGATGCGTTACCCAATCTCCAGCTGTCCTGTGCCTCTGCTCCTTCATCACACAAGAGAAATAACGGTCTCAGCAGTGTCTTAAATCCCTTAGGCCCAGGGACGGTGCCTTAGAGCTCTACAAAGATCTACCACAGAGAACCTGACAGCTGCACCAAACCTTATACTGAGTCCTGCAGTAGTCAGTGAACCCTCGGGAATCCACCCTACCTACCCATCACGCACACTGCTATTTGTTGACACATTTTCTTCATTGTCTCCTATGTGTCAGGCAATATTGCAAATTCTGAGGACACAGCAGGGGAAAGGGGGGTGAATGCTCCTTCTCTGGTGGAACTCAAGTTCTCAGTGGGTAAAACAGATGACACATAGATGAGCTGGGTAGATGTCACATCACGACAAGCACAAGGCCAAGAGTTAACAAGGGGCACAGAGGCAGAGGGTGTCTGAGTAATAGCTCCTCTAGGCTGGGTAGTCTCTGAGAGGTGAGGTTTCAGTGGATAAGCAGGAGCCAGTATAGGAAAAAGGAGAACTGCTTTGTAGGATGAAGGTACTGCTGGTTGGAGGTGGGCCCAGGCAGGCAGGCAGGGTGGCTTCCTAGAGGCAATGAGGAGGACACACAATGGTGGGAAGAAAATTATCCAAGAAGAGCCAGACACCATGAAGACCATATTGCAAGGTCATTCAGGCATGCGCTAAAGCTTAGGCTACATGTAAGGGGAAGACCCAGAGGGATTTAAACCCTCTGGAAATTTGGCAACACAGACCAGGCACTTCTCAATAAAGTTTCCTCTCTCTCTCTCTCTCTTTCCCTTTTCTTTCCCTTCCTCTCTCTCTCCCAGTCTCCCTCTCTTCTCCCTCTCCCCCCCCATACACACACACACACACACACACACACACACACACACACACTTCTTTGATCTTTCTTGATTTAAAAACTATTCTGGTATATTTTGTCTTCCTGTGATTAGAAGTCCAGCCTCCAGGTAACACAACTACTCAAAGCAGTCTAAACCTTTTGTACCTATTAGAACCAAGCATGGCCAAGCTAAGAGAAGCTTATTATAATTTTTTAAAAAAATACAAAAACGCATGTTTTTGGAAATATTTTTAAAAGTATCTCCCAACTCTAAATTATACCTAACCTGAAAGAGAAGATTTTATGCAAAGCCCCTTCCCTAAGGATATTCTGGCATGAAAAAGCGTACATTTCTTTGTTTATTATCTGTATGTATCTCTTTGACCTGTACCATGTGGGTTAGGCAGTAACTCTAACTTCCCTTGGCTACAGGGTCCATCCATGGTCCATCCACGGTCCCTCCATGTAACCAAGGCCCTAAGGAACAAAAGCACTGGGGTTCCTACGGAGGTCACTGGGGTGGAGCTTGAAGTCTTGTCTCTATGGATCTAAAGTAGAATAGAGAGGCTAGATCCATGAGCTGATGGTCAAAGCTAGCAACCTTCAGGAAGTCATGGAGGGGACCACCCATACCTGAGACTTCTATGGGACTTGGGAATGAACCCAGGGCCATGCACATGCTAGTCAAGTACCCTACCACTTGAGTTATACCTCAGCCTTTTTGTTTGTATTTTGTTTTTGAGATAGGGTCTTGCTAACTTCTACTAACCTAGTCAGCTGAGATGCCAGTTTTCTCCCATTTTTCTAGTCAACATAAATATATTGGGAATACTTCCAAGCCCTCAATGTTTGAAATCACTGATAGATTTCTTTCTTTATTTTTTTAGGGGAGGTGGTGGTCTTGAGGCTTGAACTCAGGGCCTGGGCCCTGTCTCTAAGCTCTTTTGCTCAAAGCTAGTACTCTACCACTTGAGCTACAGCTCCACTTCCAGCTTTGTGGTGTTTAATTGAAGATAAGCATTTCACAGACTTTCCTGCCAGGGCTGTCTTTGAACCATAATCCTCAGATCTCAGCCGCCTGAGTGGCTCGTTTTTTAAGTGTGAGCCACCGGTGCCCAGTTGTTTTTATTCTTTATATATAACCTGTGGACTATGGTAAAGCTTAATTGATAAATTAAGGCTCAGTAGGCAATCAACAACAGTAATAAAGCAGTTAAACAATATACTGCAATGAAAGTTATGAATTGTTTACTTTTTTTTCCTTTGAGTATTTTCAGCTCATAGAGGAAAAAGCGGGACTCCTGAATCTCATTCCTGGTTTTGCATGAAACCACAGGTATTTTTGCATATTCTAAGCATAAATCACAAAAAGGCATGTAACACGGAGTATGCCTTGTCAAAACTCACCCTTCCCCTCTGCTTGGCAATTGGGGTGCAATCTCTTAGTTACTGAGCTGCTGAGCACTGTGTGTGGCCCCACTCCCTGCCCGCCCCCCTCCCCCATTTTCTCAGCTCTTTTGCTGTGCTCCTTTATGCGAAGGCCTGGCCCATGCCCGCAGGGTAAGAAGCAATAGTGCTATGCTTAGAAACCAGCCTGCAGGCTCTCCCAACCAAGGGGTGCTAGGAGTAAGCACCCTGACCAAGGGTGATGACCACTACACTCATTTTCTTTTTCCTTTCTTTTTCTCCTTTTTGTCTTTTTTTTTTTCTAAAATTGCATTTTGCTGTACTAAGAGCACATAATCTATCTTCTTAGCAAAACTCAAACTGTACAGGGCAGCAGGACAGTGGACTATAAGGATAATGTTGATTGAAACTTGATGTCTGTTGATTAAAATCTCCCTTTTCCTTCTCTCCATGTCCCCTAGAGGCTACCTTTCCTCCCTGATTTTCCACATTTGGAGATTTCAGATAGTTTGTGCAAGAAAAATATCATATAGTATTTGCCCTTCTGCCACTGGCTTATTTCACCAGGCACAATGTCCTCAATGTACCATCTCTCTTTCTCTCTCTCTCTCTCAACTGAATATCTAGCTTGCTGTACGCATCTATTATATTCTTTTCATCTACTAGTGACATTACCATATCTTGACCATGTACACAATCACTTTGATATGATTCAAAAAAGGGAGGGAAGTGTCAAAATGAAAACATTTGTCCACTTCAGAATGCCAAATAGTTGTCTACGGCCATACCACCCTGAACGTGCCCGATCTCGTCTGATCTCGGAAGCTAAGCAGGGTCGGGCCTGGTTAGTACTTGGATGGGAGAATGCCAAATAGTTGATAGTTATGCTTGAAATCCTGACCGCCCCCCCCAAGTCCAAATGCATACCCAGGGGTCCTGCCAGTGGTCTCTGCCATACCTGCCACTTCTGTGGGTCCTGGGGACCTAGGCCTGTCTACCTAGTTGCCTTGCAGATAACAGCTCTGCTGCCAGCAGATGGTTAGTGATTAGAAACTAGCATTCCCTCTTTGAGAAGCCATCTGAACTGAGAGTCAGGCTGCATATCCTTGGCAAGCTCATGGCACCTTGGCCGCTGCTGTCAGGAACCCGAACACGCCCACCTTCCCCTCCCTGGCTCCTGCCCAACCCCTGCTGTGCCCTTGTTTTATAACTGGAAGTCTTCGTTCGTATGTCCTCAGGCCCTTTCTTGTTCCCCACTGCCCATCTCATCTCTTTATTACCACTCTTCTACTCTTCCTCCTTCTCCATCCAGGCCCAGCCGTTCTGAACTACAAGTGTGCACTTTTCCTGGAGTCACTATATTCTTTCTTCCTTCATGAATGGCTTTCTTCTTCCTTTGACTAAATCTTACCTAGCTTTCAAAACCCAGCTCAGTTATCATCTCCTCCAGGAAGCTTTCACTGCCTCCTGTGCACTGGTGCTAGACAATCCTCTGTTCTTCTACCTCTGCCTAGCATGGACCACACAGTCTGCAAGTATCTGTCTAGGGTCCAGTGTCCCAAATAAGCTGCCTACTTTGAAGGTAAGAAAATGCTTTGCATTCCTGGGTAGCTAGTCCTTAGCAAAGGACTTGGTATGTCATATACATTCAAAAGGTACTCAGGGGATGGATACATGCATTCTCCACCTGACCAGCCCAACGGACCTAAACTAGCAGGCTCCAGAGATCCTGGTTCACCAGGTAGTAGTACATTTAGGCCTCAGGTAAGGATTTTCATGTAACTCCGGAACAAAGTTGGATGTGATTGTGAAGTATCCAATTTCATTACTCAGAGCTCCTTGGAATTCTCCGAAGGCCACAAAGGCATATGGCTTCTCCTTCTCAAAGGAGAAGAAACATCACAGAGTGCTTTGTACTCCCTCCTGGTCCTCATCAGATGCCCATCACCCATCCTGTTATTCAACACTCCTTCTTCTGAGATTAAACAGCTGGACATTTTCAGACAGCCCTGTTACCAGGTAACCAAATGCTGGAGATAAACAACTCAAAAAAAAAAAAAAAGAAAGGTTGAGGAGCAGGAGGAATTTTTGTCAGAAGGTGAGACAAAGCCATGGGCATATGTTTTCAGGAAAAGGACAGAAGTCCAACTCTTGCCCTGGTCAAACTTCCCAGGCTTTCCTAACCTCCAGAATGTAGCATCTGTCCACAGCCCCACATTTCCTATTGGACTTGAGTCCTGCTCATTCTCACCTCCCACCTCCAGTGGGTGCTGCGGAGTTAATGGCCTGAACCATGTCAGTGGTAAGAGCATCCAGTAGGCTGGTGATAAATTCCAATTTCTTCCCTTCTGGACAGCCTAAAAGATAAAATGAGATTTGAAGGCAGATGTCCAATAAGTAACCAAATAAATGGCTTTCTCAGCTATCATTCCTTCCCAAGTTTCTGGAAATCCTTATTCAGCTTGATCCATTTTGGGGAATGTATTTACTGCCCAGATGACGCTCATAGACCTTCAACATTCCTCTACCCAGAGCCCACAAGGTATCATCAGACTAAATGGATAGTAATGCTTTCAATTTTCCTGCATCTCACACATTTTTTTTTGCTGAGTATCAACTCAGGTACTATGTTAAAAGCTAGGGAAACAATGCACAAGGTTCTTAACCTGAGAAACTTCACAATATACTGGGCTAATATGCTCAGGTTAATGTCCGGGGAGTTATTATAGGTTATAAAAAATGCTGCTCTGAGAGTAAGAAACATTACTGTTGGAGTACAGGGTATGGTGGGGTGGGGAGGAATCCCACTGGTTATCAAGTTGACATGAGTAGATCTATCAAGAACCTCCTCCTTTACTCTCTCCCCTCCTTCTCCAGCTGATTAGACTCTCCCTTGGAAATAGTCCCAAGACCTTTGTTCCTTGTCTTATCTTAGTGTTCCAGAAAAACCCTATGCACATCACATATATTCCTGTTCCATGTCTACACCCACATAAAAGAGCATGGCTAGGAAAACCCCCCCCACACAACCACATAGATGGGAGCCTTAAAACTCACATTCATCAACGTGAATGGGCCCTCAATCTACCCATGGTGACCTCTCTGCAGCTTCTAGGACCTTCTCTTCTCTCTCCAAACGTACAGGTCTTCTACTAAATACTACTTCTCATAAGAAGCATGGGCTCTAAGGAGGGTTTTCCCTCACATCTCCTTGCTTTTAGCCCCCAGGATGACTTCATGACTACTTGCATATACGTGCCTTCCTTTATCTGCACACAATCTGCCTCATGCATGCTATGAACCTCATGCCAATTTTGGGTACTAGATTATATCTATTGCCTGTTGAACAATGGAATCCCCCATTCTTATCTGTTGCAGGGATGGCTAGAAGCAAGGGTCCCGGAGGCCACAGCTCTATTTTTGTGATTTCTACAAAGCTCACGTGGAAAGCCTGACTTGCAGGACTCTCTACCTTCAGTTTTTGCTCTGGAATGGATCATGAGGGTAGAATGCAAATTCCCACCTGTACCCACCTAATTTTGTACTGAGTAAAGACTATGGTATTCCAAGTCATTGGTATTTACTCATCTTATTGTGACCCCTAGCAGAGTTCACTATAAATAAGGGGAAGTACAGCCCACGAGTCCTTCCAAGATCCAGGGCCCCTCTCCATGGGTCTCATGCCATTCCCTTACCCACAATATCCCTGTGGCCATCCTCAATCACTCAGATCATCATGAAAACATTCTGTGGAGCAGGTGGCAGATGCTGCCCAGGCCCCACAAGACAGCCACCTCTGTAAGCAAACTTCTCTACAGATTCCATGGCTTCTGATCCCATGTTCCTTATGGTCCACCTGCCCAGCATCCCTCCTCCTTGTGGTCCACCTGCCCAGCATTCCTGCTCCCTGTTTTAGATCAAGAAATGGCCCCAGAGTAGATTGGAAGGGGGAAAAGTAGGTACCAAAAGGGTAGCATCTCCCCACCTGGTAGCTCCCTGTCCTTGAAGGGGTCTTCCACCTCCGTGCTCTTTGCTCTGGCATCACTCTCACAACTGGGCATCACATATCTGAGGAGAGAGATGAGGGGTTAAGAAAGGACGGTAACCAAGCCTACTTCAGCTACTACTATCCAACAATGCTGTGCTGTCACTAAGGGTTAATAACATAAGATCCCCTGCACTGTCCAGCAGCTACAAGTTAATCTAACATAAATGTTCCCACTGAGACATGTAAAGGCATGTCTTTGAACCACTCAAGCATGATAATGGTGTCAATATCAGATATGCATATTGGACTCTGTGTGTGTGTGTGTGTGTGTGTGTGTGTGTGTATGTGTGTGTGTGTGTGTGCATGTCCTGAGGCTTAACTCTAGGCCTGGGCACTGTCCCCTAGCTTTTTTGCTCAAGCCTAGAGTCCTACCACTTGAGCCACATCTCCACTTCTGGCATTTTGGTGGTTAGTTAGAATAAGAGTCTCACAGAGGGCTGGGAAGGTGGTCCAGTGGTAGAGTGCTTGCCTTGCATGCATGAGGCCCTGGGTTCAATTCCTCAGCACCATATAAGTAGAAAAAAAAAAGCCGGAAGTGGCACTGTGGCTCAAGGGGTAGAGTGCTAGCCTTGAGGTGAAGAGCTGAGGGACAGCACCCTGGCCCAGAGTTCAGGCCCACGACCAGACCCCCACCCCCCACCCCCCCCAAAAAAAGAGTCTCACAGACTTTCCTGCCTGGCTGGCTTCAAATTTCAGTCTTCAGATCTCAGCCTCCTGAGTAGCTAGGATTACAGGCTTGAGCCACCTGCACCTGGCACAGGACTTTTTTTTTTTTTTTAATCTATGGAACTTAAGGACTTAGTTAGTAAGATACTTTTATCAAGAAATGAAGCTTCAGAGTAATTAAATACTTTTCTACAACCAGAAAGGGACAGATCTACAACCAGCATTCAGGTCCTCATCTGCTCAAGAATGGAAACACTGATCTCCTGTGATGTGACCTGACTCTCATGGAACCTGAGAGAGGTAAAGCTGAGACAGGCCAGCATAACTAGGAGCTGGTCCCTTTGTCCCAGGACTCAGCCTGAGGCTCAGGATAGGCTCTGAGTGGGCTTACCGTGTGGAGGTCCCAGGCAGTGGGCGCCCAGTATCCACCAGCACACACCAGCAGTAGCCAGTGGACTGGTGGCACTGCACTGGCTTATAAAGCCCCCCAGGGGCACACTCGGGAATGACAATGCCCTCTCTGGGGTTCTGCCTGGCTTCTTCCAGGGCGCTCTGCCTCTCCTGGTCACACGAGTGGATTTTCTCTGTAAGAGAAGACATAGCCTCTGATAATGTTCACTCCTGGGGTATACCATCCTCTCCTTCTAGCCCAGCAAGGACCAGGTCCCAGGCCCAAGGAGCTGAGGGCTTGGCTGATGAAACCTCACTGACAGCTATGTCTCCCACACCTGGTAAAAAGGTGTGGAAGGCAAGAGACATGATAAAAAGGCAAGAAACACTCCTCCACCCACCCCCAGTCCCCGTGGCCACCGCTGCTGTCAGGGCTCATCAACACTCCCACAGCCGGGGCTCTAAGGCTGCTCTTCCTCAAAGCTGTGGTTTGCCTCAAGGCTGGAATTTCTTCACTGTTTTCGGAGGAGCTCCTGCTGATACACTGTCTACTGGCTCCAGGAGAGGTAAGTACAGGAGCCAGGCTGCCCTGCAAGCTAATGCGGGAATGCCTGTGTAAGTAGATGCTCCTAAGCCCAGACACGGCAGGACACAGCCACAGGCCACCAGCTTCAGACAGACCTGTGCTATGCACCCAAGAGGAACAAAAATAAGATCCAATGTTGGCTCCTTCCAGTCTCTGCACTGGCTGGATGAGGTAGGCTGATGGGCTTGAATCCATTTCACAATGCTGTTTCTGTCCATTGGGAGAGAAAACAGGCCCAGCAGGAAGATGTCTGCACTCAGCAGCCTCAGAAATAGGTGAACGTGTCTGAACAACCAAACTGGGTCTCCCTGCAGCCAGACCCAAGCAGAGACAGTGGACCAGTGCCAGGCCTGGTCAGCTGCAGAGAGCCTCACACCTGCAGGGCCTCTTATCTGAAAAATGTTGCCAATCAACCCACCTGGCACCCTTTTTTTTTTCCTTTGTAGTTTTGTTATGGTATTGGGAACCTTGAGAGCCATTCTGCCCTCTAAACACAACACAAATGAGCAACACAAACTGGTGCCAGAAATAATGATGCAATATACCTAAGGCCCCAAGGAAGCATATGACGTAGTAGATGGACACAGATACAAATAAGCATAATGCTGTCATAAAAAATAGATGAGCCAAGCATTGGTGTGCATGCCTATAATCCTAGCTATATCCAGAGGCTGAGATCTGAAGATGCTGCATGTGAGAATCTTATCTCCAAGGAACCAGCAAAAAGCTGGAAGTAGAGGGGTGGATCAAGTGGTAGAGTGATAGCCTTGAGTGAAAAAGCCAAATGAGACCCTGATTTCAGGGCCCAATACTTACTCTGTCTGTCTGATTCTCTCGCTCACACACACACATACACACACATGAGATTAGATGATGCAGAAACCATTCTTGTTCTCACTGCTGGGAAAAATGCTGAATATTTCTCTAGGAATCTGAAAAGTCTCAGAGTTAATAGACAGGTGGGTATAGCATATTCAATACTGAAATACAATTTCCAAACTTCGGAAAGAAAAAGCAACTGTTGTATTCATAATGTAGCTATAGCAAACCTTAAAGAGCATTTCCTTGGCTGAGGACTTTGAGTTTAAAGCAGTTGATGAACATCAGATTAGGGATTCCCTGCCCATGATAACTACCTCAGGACAACATCCAGAGGCCGCTTATGAAAGAAATAGAAACCGAATGGGAGACAGAGGAACTGGAGAACCTTGGTGTTGACTTTGACCCCTGGCTGGGACAGAGACAGGGCAATTTCTAGGTGATTACCCCAGAAGTTTGCAATAGTTCCCCCAATCTCTATTTGGTAGCCTTGCTTCCTACCTCATATTTCATGCCATTAGGGAGGTAATGGAGGAACAAAGGTAAAGGAAAAGAGCTTTTTATTGGTACCACCACCACATTCATGTAACAACTGCTGACAGGCTTCTCCAGGCCAGTCTTCCGGAGCCATAAACCAGACTAAGTTGAGAAGCCAGAAGAGGAGGAGGAAACCCCCAGTGTAGCAAGAGAGATGAACCTAGCTTCATACTCCTGGAGTTCTGAAGCCTGTGGACATGTGGACAGGAACTGGATAGGAGAAATACAAACCCAGAGTTTGGGGTCTGTTAACGGGCTTCTGGAATTCCTTGGAGGCTATTCAGAAATGTCCAGTCAACTTCTGTGATGGAGAATTAAATCATGAAAAGGACAAAGTTCTCTAATTTGGAAACATGGAGCATAGCATAGAATTGAGAAAAATGCTAAACGCAGAGTGTATCACTTTATACTTTCATATGTATCTATCACTTCATTATAGTCCCTACAAGCCTGGGGCCTCTAAGAAAGAGACAAGAATGGTTTATTGAAACAGCACAAATCATTTGTGAAGAGTACACAGCTTGTCTTCCAGAAAGAGGAAAATCTCTCTTAAAGTTCTTTTACACACACACATACATATTTGTAAAGATACTGTACAGAGGAGTTACAGTTACATGAGCAAGGTAATAAGTCCTTTTCCTATCGAGCATTGTTACCCCCTCCTTTGTTTTTCCCCTACCATCCCTTTCCTCCCTACCTTCATAACTCCTCCCTCCCCTTTCCCCTCCCCCCCACTCCCACAAAGTTGTAATTCATTTTCAACATAGTGTCTTGTACATCTCGATGACAATGGGTCATCCTGTATCCTTATTTCAGCATTTTGTTATTTCTCTTCCCCTCCCCAAATCAGAAAAATGTATATACAAGATGCAGTATACCGAAATTAAATACAGTGACAACAGTGGTTACACCATGAGGGAAGAACATTCAAGAGAAGCAAAAAAAATTACATACTACATTATAAGTATATCTTAAAGTTATTTTAAAAACTAATACAATTAAAATAAATATTCCTTAAGTAAATGTTCCAGGCAATAGACTAAGGGCTTCTCCACCTAGTCTTTATTATTTTTGGTGTCAGTACTGGAGCTTGAACCCAGGGCCTGGGCTTTTATGCTCAAGGCTGGTGCTTCACTACTAGCACTATGACTCTACTTCCAACTTTTCACTGATTAATTGAAGAGTCTCATAGACTTTCTTGCTCAGGCTGGCATAGAATCATAATCCTCCGATCGCAGATTCCTGAGTATCTAGGATTAAAGGAGTGAGCCACCAGCATATGGCTCTAGTCACTATTACTATGAACTCTTTGTAGGCAGGGAAGTTGAATTTTGGAGATTATAAATATTCCCAAATTCACTCAGACAGGAAGAAAGAGGACTGAGATTCTACTCAAGGCTTCTGACAGCCAAGTTTACTTTGCTAATCTCTAGCTACTTGTTCTAGGAAAATATCCACCCTCCCCCACCCCCCCATCACAGTGAGCTCTTCCAGGTCACAGGCTACCCCAAATCTGCCATGTTCAAGATCAAATGTGTTCACACAGCACAGCTATTTCTGAACTAACCACATCCTTCTGGCTTAATCGTACAAACAAAGATTGTGCATTAATATCTTTCTTCCTCAGAACTAGAAAGCCTAAAATCAAATATGTAACTCACCTACCACTAGAGATCTATAACTTCAATAACAACAGCTAGCATTTGAGTCTTTATCTAATGTGACAGACTGGGTACTAGGAGTTCTACTTATATTTATGGTTTCGCACTCATCCCAAGGCTCTAGGACAAGTGTGATTACATACTGTTCCTACCAGGAACACAGACTGGCTGATGGTCAAGATCATACAACTAGGATGAGGGCAGGGTTGGGATTCGAGCCCAGCTATGTTCTTCCTCTTTTACAGTAACATCTTTCACTGAAGTAAGACTAATGTGATCTTTATCTGAACTTTTCTTTTACTCAGTAAATACAGTAGATTACTAGGAAGTGATCCCAAGAAATTGTGCCACCCTATCTCCATGCCTTCTTTACAGCCATACACTGGGCTCTGATGAAAATGATGGAAGTGTCAGAGACTTGCGGCTTCTATCTTAATTTTCTTGGAAGCTTCCCAGAGACCCCCATATAAGGAAGCTGGTTTAGCCTCCTGGGGGAGGAGGGGCCACAGAGAGGGAAGCAGAAGTGGTTCTGCCTATAGCCCACACCTGCTGAGACTTGACAGAAACCATCTTGGATGCTCTAGCCCCATGAATCCTCCATCTGGATGAGCCAAGCAGCTAATTTAAAACCAGATAAAGAACCACTGGACCAACCCACAGATACATGTGCAAGAATAAAGTAAGACAATAGGTTTAGAGTAGTTTGTTATATGTCAATAGACAACAAGCATCCATAAATCATTTTCTGGAATGCAGGGCAGGGGGTCCTTATCAGTTTGGAGGGGAAGGAGCTCCCCCAAAGTGGATAAACCCTGGCATGAATACACCCCATCTCTTCTTGGGAAAACCAAGGAAGAAGAACAAAATGGGAAGGTCTAGCCTGTTGCTGGGATAATGGGCCAGGGCCATCTATATGCCCTTGAAAGACACAATAAATAACAGGAGAGAGAGAACATTCAGGATGTAGAAATACATGAACACACATACTCACACATGTCCACATGGCACAGAGGAAAAGTGAGAGCTAGGTCACTTTTTCCTGAGCAATGAATGACTAAAGCTTCACTCACTTAGCCTTCGACTGTCTCAAAGAAGAAACACAGAGAAAAGCACCTAGACTTTGCCACCAGAAAACACAGAGCTCTCTCTTTCACCAAGTACACATGGCATGGGGGAAAGTAGGGACCAAAACTGAGCAAAAGTGGGTGGGACAAGAGACAGGAGAGGAAAGGTCAGGTTGAACCAGACAAACATAAACCCTGTCTGCAGGCCCAGAGCCCAGGTCATTACATGGCCGCCAAGATGGGATCAGCATGGAGAACAGCTCTGTCTGGCCCATGCCCCTGTGCTCTCAATTGCCCATGATAATTAGGAGCAAGGCGTGCATGAAAAAACAAAATTCTCAGCTAATCCCCAATCTCCATTTGAGCCCAGAGTTTATCCTTTCCTCCTGGGAACCTTTTTTTTTTCCTGTCTATCTGTCTGTCTTATCATCTTTTCCTTTTCTCTTCTTTATTTTTTCCAAGAATAAATGGCTAACAAACATAAGCATTTCAAGATTGGAGTTTCAGCTTTCTTGGGCTAGGCTTCC